AGTCTAAGCTGTGAGTTGAGTTAGGTATGTACTGAGGTGGTTAGAGTTAGGGTCAGCGTTAGGCTGTAGAAGTGATGGGCAAATGAATGGAAAAATACAAAGTCCCCATGAGGCTAGAAAAACAACCTGTGTTGTGTCACCAAAGTGTAGAACTTGAAACAGTAGTTTTGCACAGTTTTACATATTTGAATCAAATTGTAAAAAGAAAAAAAATGAAATCAACTTGGCTTCAATTAATTCAAGTCTAAAAATAACAAAATCCTAGTTTCAATTTTTTAAGATTCGGATTTTTCTTTGTAATAAAAAAAATTAACAAAATGAGTGAATGGAAAACTCTATATGTGATAGTTTACCGACAAACGAAATAAATGCCGACTCTAGACTGATCAAGATTCATTTTACAGACTACATTTGTGCACGACGTGCTGCAAGCGTGTTGTGGGGTTTCCATCGTTCTCATGGTCTCACCGTCCTCCTCAGGTTCATCAGTACTACAGCTCGCTGCCCGAGGACAAGGTGCCCTACGTGAACAGCCCAGGAGAGAAGTACCGCATCAAACAGCTGCTCCATCAGCTCCCACCCCATGACAATGAGGTGAGAGTCCAGACCGACACCCTCCCCCACCTCCATCCATCCATCTCCTCCCTCCCTCCCTTCAGGGCATTACAGAGATAAGAGCGGAGCAGAAAGAAGACAGACAGGAGAGATGGAGTATGTCTTCTTAATGGACACGGATAAGATGGAGCGATGTTTGTAGCTACTTAATAAGATTTGTTACAATAATAAATCATTACCCAGAATTCATCTTGACATAAGGGGTTTTGCCATGAGGATGAGGAGCATTCTTTTAGAAGACTGGTACCTTTTTTTTTATCACACTCCGCTTATCTTTTCAATGGGTTTTACTATCATGGAGCTGTTGCGGAAGTGAATGAGTGCAAAGATAATGAGAAGATTGTGTTTTGTCACAAATCTAAAATGTTATTTGAAGTTTTATTTGGTAAAAAAGGGAGCTTCAGTCTTCAGTTCTGGAGTTATCCAGAGGCTTTAACCATTATCATGAACTGGGCCACTTCACCACAAAGGCCTCTGTGGGACAAAAATAAAAGACTAATGTAGCAATCTGGGTGTTTGGCAGAGTTTTATACTTCGAAAACTAAATTTGTTTTTCCAAACAGGCAGTTTGTCTTAAAACTTTGTATGTATGCAGAAAAAAATATCCTCATTTAAAGAAAAGGAAATGAAAATAATCCACAATCCATCATTTTCAGCATAATGAAGGCACCATTCCAACCTAATAACATTGCTAGAGGCGTTTTTTTGCTAAATTTTAATGAAATAACTAATAAAGGCAAAGAGCCCAATTTCTGTAAGACAAACCAGTTTGAGGAGCATAATGAGGTGAGTGAACTTATGGCAAAACAACACAGAGGGCTCACAGCAGGTGATTTGTGTTCAGAATTAAAAACAGTTAAGTCATAATTTAGATTTTAACAGGGAAGACTGAGAGGAGCTCAGAGGATTTTTCCTCTGCAGGTAGAATCAGAGTTTTAGCTTAGCTCCAGTCACTTTGCATGTGTCTAGAATCTGAGCCTTTCATCACTCTTCACATGTTTTTAAGCATTATATTGTGAAGAAAAACACATTAATATGCATGCAGTAAGAATAAGGATGTGAATGCAGCACTTTGAAAAGAGCAAGATCAATGCAGGATGTTTCACCTTTTATGTGAGCAATGAAGAAAACCCCTGAAAAGAAAAATGGCCTGTATCGAAAGTAACCATGGTTCTGTCAGCCTGTGGGGCTGCTTCGCTGCCTCTGATTCTCCAGGCAAAGAATATATCAAAGAGATGTTGACATCTGATGGTTGTCCTGTCAGAAAACAAGGGTTGGGGTAAAGATTTTGGGAATTCTAGAAGAAAATCAACAGCACGCTATCAGCAGCACAGAAAAACAATTAAAAAGTAAAAGTTGAACTGGTTTTAAAAACAGATCAGTACTGAATTTTGACTGACGTTCTGTGGCAACAGAGAATTAAAGGGATGAACATACTTCTTAAAAACCAGGATTTCGCTCAAGTTTTTAAAATAATTCTTTTGTCTTTAAAAATAATATTTAAAGATGTGTATTTATTATTATTTTTAAGTCATGTACAATCAGTTTAGGTGAAATTCTTACCAGAATTTGAATAAGAAATAAACACTACCATTTTATTTTTTTCCTTGTTTTAAACAATTAAAATTTTCATTCATTTTGCTTTAGGCAGCATACAGTATAGTAAGGTGTGTATGTGTGTGTGTGTGCGTGCGTGCGTGCGTGTGTGTGTGTGTGTTTGTAGGTACGCTACTGCAATAGCCTGGATGACGAGGAGAAGCGAGAACTGAAGCTCTTCAGTAACCAGAGGAAACGGGAAAACCTCGGCCGAGGCAACGTCCGCCCGTTCCCTGTGACGATGACGGGAGCAATCTGTGAACAGGTAGCTGAACATCAAAAATGACCTTTTTTTAAACATTTATTTTTACAAGAAGCTTTAACTTCCAGATGTTGGGAACAGGATAGAATTAAATGCAACAGAGTTGAAGGTGCGTGACACAGCCGGTGGGATGAAAGCTGTGAATCAGGTGACCGATGCCCTGAACGCCACGCTGCCATTTCAGCTCTTCTGATGAACGTCGGCTGTTTCATGTTGACATATAAAGGGCGGTCTCCTGACCTTTTCTGTCTCACCTCAAAGTCTGATGTGTTGTTGTTGACCCGACTACATGTAGTCTTCCTTTCCTCTCTGCCTCGCCAGCTGTCAGACTCCAGTAATCCCACTATTTGTTTGATATAAAAATGTAGCAAGACCCCAGATAGCTGAGTCTGTGTTAAAACAGCCCTGTTACTTCACACTTAATATATTACGTACATGCACTCTTTTAGTATCTTTATGGGACTTCTGAGAGTGCTGAAGCATTCCTGAGCCTACAAACCTGCACACTTCAGCATCACCCATTTGTTTGTTACTGTGGAGAACAGGTTGAACCCAAGTGCCCAGTGTGTGTTTAGTTCTACTTTATTTGTTATCCATTAAGTAGAGACACACAGATATGGTACACGTGGTAGCAGAATTTGAGTGAAAGTGTGTATTGTTTATCTTTTCTTGGCCTCCTCACAGCAGCTGGTGTTGTTGGCCATCAGTAAGATAACCTGATTGTACCTCTGCATCCATCTCCTCTCTCCTGCCTCCCTAAATCATCTTGGCTAAAAGCCCGTCTCCAAAGAAGCTAAATGTTTATTTTGCAGCTTCTGTTCTTTTGACACCTCTGCAGTGGTCAAACGCTCACTTTTATCCTGCCATATTTCTTTCCAATTAATTCTTCGGAGGTCATCCCATCGCGCCTCTGTCTGCACTCTGTGTGTGTGTGTGCGTGCGCGCGCGTGCGTGTGTGTGCGTGCGTGCGTGCGTGTGTTATATGAGCTACCGGCTACAACCAGATGCTTTCACTTTAGTCCAGCTTTCATGTGAAATTGTCACAAAAAGTGATGCATCACTTTGAAGGGCTGGATCAGGGTCTCTTTTGATTCAGATTTTAAGTTAGACAGGTGACTTTGATCAGATGAGGACATCTTATTTGTTTGAAAACTGTGAGCCGTCACATCGAACCAAGGATTAAGTCGCACAGTGGACTGTGGAGAAATAGGCAGCTATAGTGCATCGTGTAGAACATTTACAACAATAGCATTTTGTCAAAATAGAATGAAGAAACATCTTATCTACAGTCTGCTTAAATTAAATATCTGAATCTTAAAGGATTATTTTGAAGCCCTTTTATGATCATTAGCTACAAAAAACATGATTTTGAGCAGAAAATCCTAAAAAATTTGTCATTTTCCCTGCGAGCTGGACAGCTTTTATCTTTCCGGCTGGTAAATTTTTCCTCTTTAAAATAACATCAAACATTCCTCATTAGAATGACTTAATAATAGGATTCATACCAAATATCAATGGGTTATCCTGATTAGGAAGACTAATCAAAGTGTACCTCCAGAATCACTCATGATGCCAGAATGATCCAGGTAGCTTAATGTAACTTTAAAAAGCAGGAATCTGGAAATGTGCTGAGGTCATTTTGACCTAATTTGACTTAGATTGATGTGACGGGTCACATTATTTGTTACATTATTGTCTGATTGATCAGTTTTATGTTTAAGTTCTGGAATTCTCTGTTGTTAGAAAGCTTTTTTTTTTCCTCTGCGAAATGAAATTGATTCATCTGAATGTAAAGAGATGGACAGACAGCTCGTGGTTTCCTCTGCAGTAATGATGATATTACAGTAGTGTGTCAGATGTCCCCACCCTCTCCTGCAGTCATGGGTTTTGGATAATGATTGAAAGAACATGAGCCCTGATGCAAGCTGCTGAAATCAGTTGTTTTGCCTTTGCTTGAGACGTCTCCTATTGAAGGTTTTTAAGGAAGACTCAGAACTCGCTGGAGGGACTATATACAGCAACTCCCTTCTGGCCTGGAAACCCCTCTGTGACCCCTCAGGAGGAGCTGTAGAGGGTTGCTGGGGAGAGGCACGTCTGTTTACTTCTCTTTGACCTGCTGCCTCTGCAACCCAGCCTCAAGGAAGCAGGAAAAAAAAAGAATGAATGTATTAAACTAAGTCTTTGTAGGTTTTGGATTCCCAATCGTACAAAACAAATGTGTGGTTGTGTTGAAACATTACAGGAAGTCGTGAAGGTCAGTGTTGGTTCAGGTTCTGTTAATCAAGATTATAAAGCTCACATGGGTTGTTAAGAGATTTTCACACAAATGAATTCAAAAGATTTGAGTTCCTTTTAGGTTTAGTCATATTTTTAGAAGTAGAGGAACTCCAGGTTGAATGAGAACAAAGAAAAAATTGTGGCCTCTTTCTGTTTTTTTTTTTTTTTCTGCCAGTGCGGAGGCCAGATAAACGGCGGCGACATCGCTGTGTTCGCGTCGCGAGCGGGTCACGCCGTGTGCTGGCACCCTGCCTGCTTTGTGTGCAGCTTGTGCAAGGAGCTGCTGGTGGACCTCATCTACTTCCACCAGGACGGGAAGATTTACTGCGGCCGGCACCACGCCGAGAGGCTGAAGCCGCGCTGCACGGCCTGCGACGAGGTAGACGCACACACAACGCGACATGCCTGCAGACAGATGAGTGCATATTAATAGAATCACATGTAACTGTGTCTGTAGAGCTATTTATAAGGCATTTACACACACACACATGGTGTCTGCACTTACTCAGGCCTACATGCACACCAAACAGCTGTCATCTGATGCACACGGGTTTCCCACTTTAATGGGGTTGGCTTCCAATCGCCTGATCTTTTAAACATTAACACTGTCTCCTACTGAGCAAATGGGAACAAGGACAGTGAAGTGCTTAGGAGGTACCCCGATGGTTTAAACAGTGGAGCAATTAACTGCAAATGCACCACCTAGATTTCACCAGGTCCCCACTTACATTAGCCTCCCCCACAAGTCAGAGATAAAGAGGATGAGCTCTGATCAAGAGAGGAGAAGTGGTGCACTTAAAGAGGATGGAGGCGGGGAAAAAAAGTCTTTTGTGCTGTCATTCAGCACCGAGTTCTAACCTGACTGTTCTTCTTCGTCTCTTCTTTCTTAGATCATCTTTGCAGATGAGTGCACGGAGGCGGAGGGCCGTCACTGGCACATGAAGCACTTCTGCTGTTTTGAGTGTGAGGCAGTGCTGGGGGGTCAGCGCTACATCATGAAGGAGGGTCGGCCCTACTGCTGCTCCTGCTTCGAGTCCCTCTATGCAGAGTACTGCGACTCCTGCGGGGAGCACATTGGTACGCTGGTTTTAGCTGTTTAGAATGGGATAGGAATATTCTTAACGATTAATGACCAGAGATCATGGTTGACAACACAAAGATGTAGCGTGAGGCCAAATTGAGGAAAAGCATCAAAGCACATCAAGAGCTTCTGCCTTGGAAGTGAAACCGAAGTGTTAAATCTACAGAAACCAGTAATTTCCAATGCTAGGGTTTCATACCGACATATTATCTTTAGATAATACTGCTGTAAGAGAATTTAGTGTTCGAATCGTGACGAAACCACCTGAATGTTGAATAGATGAAAATGTGACGAGAAGGACCATACAACACCAGTGACTGGAGTGAACGGTGGTTTAATGCTCTCTGTGCAAACATGAAACCAATGGTGAATGCAAAACGGAAGTCCCGGTCCATAAATACATGGGTCTTCAGTGCCTGGTACGCCCACTACAGGCCTACGGCTGAATCGCAGACACTCTGAACAGCAATGCTCTCCTAATGTTTTTATTAATAGTTTTATTATGTGTTGTGATGGTGTTTTCAGGGATGCATCTAAACCTATTTTAATCAAGACATAACAAYAGTCAAACAATAGATTRTAAGAATCAATACTTAAAAAGRAAAACWATGAATATGGTGTGGTGCTTTTAAAATCAGTTTCTAAATGACTARGTAAGTAGTTCCTGTGACTAGGCTCCAGAAGGTTAAAATACCATCATAATTTTGAAACACCATCACCATGTGAGGTATACTACAATACCTTCATAACACCCAAGCCCAACCCATGCTACCTTGCTGAACCAGTACAGAACCAGCAGGTGTTATTGTCAAACCAGTTATAATCCTTTCCTCTGATGAAAAACATTAGTGAAATGTAACGTACTGGTGCAGTACTGTGTCAGCTGTATAACCGTAGTAGTTCTTTCCATGGCCTCATTTTACAGAAACAGAAACTAGCCTTATGATTGTGAGTCCAGTTAGATTTAAACTTTGTTTCTTCAAACTCAGCCGTGCTTTTCTTATCAGTTTGTATCGGTGACATCATGCTGTATGTTCTCCTGCAGGTATCGATCAAGGCCAGATGACATATGATGGACAGCACTGGCACGCCACGGAGGGCTGTTTCTGCTGCGCTCGCTGTAAACGCTCTCTGCTGGGCCGGCCTTTCCTGCCCAAGCAGGGCCAGATCTTCTGCTCTCGCTCCTGCAGTCTGGGAGAAGAGCCCAACGGCTCCGACTCCTCCGACTCGGCCTTCCAAAGCGCCCGCTCCACCAGAGAGTCCCGACGCAGCAGCAAAACGGCGAAGAGCGGAGAGGGCGGGGGGCAGCCCGAGACGTATTCAGGAGAGGTGGACCCGCTGTCTTTACAAATGGACCTGCTCAGTCTCTCCAGCCAAACGCCCAGTTTGACTCGTGAGCCGCCCTCTTGGCAGAATCAGGAGCACGTGGGTGAGGGTTACAGTTACAAATCCCAGTCTGACTCCACAGCCAACCCCACTCCCCTCCAGCTGCTGAGCCAGTGCAACGTCAGGAGCGCCTACAGCGCCCCCTGCTCTGCACCCAATATTCAACAGCAGGAGCACAGGATGAAGGAGAGCGCYGGGTTGAAACGCCCCTGCATCTCCGCTCTCAAGGGCCACTCTCTGAGTGAGACGTGGTTTCAGCCGACAGCTCCTGAAGAGTACTACCCCCCAAAACCGAGGACCCAAAAGAGCTTCTCAGAGGTGTCTCACTGCTCTCAGCACCACAATGGCTTCTCCTCAGACAAGCGCTCGATTAGCTTCCACGGCTTCCAGAACCGAGACGGAGGGGCTCCGACAGCTGCCCAACTGGCAAGAAGCAGGAACCCCATTAATGCACTTAACTTCAGCGAGCAGCTGACCCCACTGGAGCAGACCCCGAGAGGTTCTGCTGAGTCCTTGGCTTTGTCTAATGCCACAGGTGGGTCTGCTTCTAATCATGGTTAGACCTTTGATTCTCTGATTCATTTTCGTTACAGCAAACAAGTGAATAATTTAACTCTTTATGCAATTCTCTTTTAAATTTTCCCCTTCCAGGTAACTCAGCGGATGGAGGAGGAAAACCTCAGGAGCACCTCTCACGTTTTTCTATGCCGGACTTGAGCAAAGACTCCGGAGTGACCGTGTCAGAGAAAAGCAACTTGGACATCCTCAACTCCTCGGCGCAGTTTCGTAGCTCCGAGTCCATTCACAGTTTGAATGCAGGTCAATCCTACATGGAGATAAACGTGCCCAGGTCCTCTCAGTACCACGTGCAGTTCTGTGACCCCCCCAGTGTGGGGCTTGGTGTGACTCATTTACCACCTGGCTTCACCTATCAAGAGGAAGACAGGATTAGTCTGGTAAGCAGCGCTAACGCTGCACGGCTGCCGCCCATCAGCGAGCGCAGGGTGAGCGTTGTGGACGGAAGGGGAGCGAACACCCGAGTGGACACTCGAGAAGAGACTCCCCAACGGCGTCGGCACCACCATCACCGCCAGCGACGGTCCCGCCGCTCTCGGTCTGAAAACGCTCTGAACTTGGTGGCCGAGCGAGCGGTAAGACCTCAGGAGCGACCGCAGCTGCGCGTGCGAGAAGATTACGACCGTTTTCCACCGCCAAGGGGCTCCAGAGGCCAGTTTGGAGTCGGAGGAGGAGGAAGATACCAGCCTCAGCTCTTCAGGCAGTGCCCCCGGACCACTTCAGACCTGTGTCTGCAGAACCCGGGGGTCACCAGACGCACCGGCTTGAGCCAGTACTCCTGGGACGATTATTACGACGACGACTGGTGCTCCACCTGCTCCTCCTCGTCCGAATCGGAGGACGAAGGCTACTTCCTGGGTGAGCCCATCCCCAGGCCCATCCAGCTGCGCTACCTCAGCAACCAGGAGCTGGTCCATAAGTTCAACAACACGGGGAGCGGCGGCCCCAACCGCAGTGGGCAGCTGCACACCCGCAAACGCAGGAAAAGCAAGAACTGCATCATCTCTTAACGTCTGGACATTCCCAACAAGCTGGTGTACGCTAATATCAAAAAGATCAAAAAGAAACATGTCAGTGTTGTTGATTGTCATGTTTGAAATGAGTGTGAAATGCAGTGGGTAAGCCCTGAAACAGCAAAAAGAGTTTGTATTTTTTAGTGTTTCATATCTCCCGAGTGTTACAGTGAACATTTACGGTTTTATCAGAAGCTGATGTGCAATCTCTTTTGGTCCTGACTGCATTTCCTCTTTCTGAATGTGTGTGCAACATGCTCCGTTTAATCCCGTTTTACATTTTTACTCAGTGTGCTCTAGTGATAGAATATTCTGTACTAATAATTAAGTTCCTAATATGTACATAGGTAAATGAATTCATTTCTTTTTAAATTAAGGAAGTCAGTGTAAATATGGTTGTAAATGAAGCCTCACATATTTTTTATATTTTGTATGGCTAGAATCAATTGCATATAAAATGTCTATAATGTAGAAATAGAACTTAACAAAAAAAAAACAACAATGTACGCATGTGTTATTTTTGGCTGACCTGATCCTGCATTTGGAATAAAGGAGTGTTTCAGTGAGTTTTGGCGTCAGCATTTGGTGTTTTTCCTCCAAAGAATGACAACCTGTGGGTGACGAAGTGTGCTCAACAGTTCCTTCTTCATCGGTTTAATGCTTAAAATGGACGAGGACGTGTTGCAGAGCTTGATTAGAATCATCCCCTGCTGGGTTGTTGGATGGTAAGAGGCTGTATTCAAACAGAGGTTCATTGTCCTGGTAACAAATGCTGTTGAAGGCCAGGTTTATTGGATCAGCCTCCACAAGTTGGAAACTGCTTACGAAAAGTCTGAAGGTTGGGTTATTAGAAGCAGCTGATGTTTAGGTATTGTTTTACTGGGAAGTTGCCAAGACATTATTTTCATCTCAGAGGGAGTCAGAGAAGTTTAGTGACATTCTTTTGTGTTTGTCCRTGGATTTCAGCCCAGTTAATAACTCTTCCATCAATCTGAGCTACATTTTTATTTAATATCTTCACTGTTTCTGTGAGAAACTCTAATGCATGACAATGAAATCAGATTAAACATTTCACATGCCTGTGCTGTCATGCTGTTAGAGCTGAAGAAAAAATGAAGTTAAAATGAACAAAAAAAAWTTCTAACAACTATCAGATGAATACCAACATAGCAGTAAATAAAAGTTATTAAGATAAGGAGAGAACCATCACCTGGATGTAGTTTTCCAGGTTAAAAATCCAAATTGGGAGGCACACACTGGGGGGAAAAACACTGACCTTAAGAAGAAAGTGGATTTTTTTTTCCCAGGCAGTTTTCTGAGAATAGAAGAGAAACAGCCTTTTTTGTCCTGCGTGGGGAAATTCAGGCGTAGCAGCAGCAGATACATGCACCAATCCACAAAACAGTATATTGCTATGTGACAATATCAATTGTAGCAAAAAATAATAGAATTAAAGACAGGTAATGAGTAGTCAGTGTCGCACCTGCAGCAGATTTCTGAACAATGAGGAAGAAATGCTAACTACTAACAAGGTTTGAGACTTGTCAGTCCACCCTGGCATGACTGTGGCTCAGTAGTTGGAGAGTCATCTTAGGACCAGAAAGTTGCAGGTTCACTTTACTATCTTTCCCACATGTTGCAGTGTCTTTGAGCAAGACACGTGCTCCCCGGAAGCTTGGATATCTGCCCACTGCTCCACATGTGTGTWTGATRGGTTAAAAKCAGAGAACAGATTTTGTTGTGTGCATGTAATTACGGCAAAATATCATTTAACTTAAACATTTTTGTAATTGTTGCAAACGCTATTTTATAAAGCTTTACACCATTTAACAACTGCATTAGAAAGTCATTTACAAACATGTTTGTGATGTTTTATATAAAAACATTTGCTGGTGGAACAGTGTAAATTGATAAAAGTTCAGCTTTTTATTTATTCACAGTGGTGGGCAGCACTAATCTAAAAWTTAGTTCCACTAGCCCTAAAGCACTGAGTCAAATATTTAGGTCCCCTAATTCTAAAGCACTAACACACTGAAAGTTTCAGCAAAAGCTAATTCTAAAGCACTAAAATAACCCAGTCAACCCATGAACATTCTTCWACAGACAACATGAGTCACATGTTGTCATGTTGCTCTCTTAAGACTTATCATTGTCATTCCACAGCTGTATTTGGGTTTATATATTGTTAATATTTCACCTGGTGGATAAGTGACACACACATGAACAAAATGTGCATTAGCTTTCACCGTCAGTTRTTAACATTAACATTTGATCAATAACATTTATAGACCTCAGTAAGTGCTTCTAAATTTAGCCTATAAATTTAGCAAATGCTAATCCATCTAAAAAAATTAAATTAGCAAAAGCCCTAAAGCACTAATCAGGAAATTAGTTCCCATATTAGTGCTTTAGGGGAACTGTGCCCACCACTGTTTATTTAAGTAGCACCAGTTTAGAACATCAGTCATCTTAAGGCACTGTATAAATTTGTATTCTTCATAAAAYGTCAAACTGTCAAGCATACATGGCTGGAAAATAAAGTACAAATCGATTGGTAAATAAGTTAAATAAGGTAAATAAGTTAAAAAAATCAACTTGGTGATTTTTATTCATTTATTATTCATCACAATATCACAATGGATAAAACAGTTATTATTGTGTTTCAGCAAAAAAAAAACAAAAAAACTGCTGTACCAGATTTAAAGTCATGATCAATTATTAGGGAAGTTGTCACAATTAGAGTTTTATTAGCTACAGCCGTTTGACCTGCCATCAACATGTGATCAGATAACTATTCTGCAGCATTTTCTTAATTTGCACTGAAACCTGCTCTGAAAAAAACAGGCCCCAATAGCTTTACTTTTTTATGAAAATTCATTTCCATTTCTTCAAACTAATGTACTGTAGGCCCAACTAATGTCTGCTGCAGGTAAGGTACTGACTACTCTTTAAGTGACTTTCTTTTGACCTCTAAAAACTGGTTCAAAGAGCTTTTTCAGTGTTAGTGTGGGAAAGAAAGCTATAAAAATATTGTTTCATTTCGCTGGCTGAATAGGATGTTATCTTGATACGTGGCTCATATAAAGATTTTGTTTAAATGTGTCAGAAAAATAATGCATGGGTCCTCCAAACTCCCCTGTTCTAAGGGTTCAGTGCCAGCTGCCATCAGGATCACCTGCTGTCCGTCACAGACGACCCATGTGTCGGAGGGTTAACTATTGACACTCACTGTGTAGCAGCTTGTATTGCTAAGTGTTAAGCACTGTCATACTGTAAATTGGATTGCCTCTGACGTCCATGTGGTGTGTGTGGAGGGGGATAATCCACTCGCACACACATGTCTACTGTATTTGGAGCAAGGTGTGTGAACACCAATCTGTTGATTAGAGGCCGTGAAGCACTCATAATTGGCACATCAATGTGTTCTTTGTCTCATCTCTTCTTACAGGCCGTGGGTTGCTTGAATATGGACATAAAAAGTTTAACTCAGTCAAATAAAGCAGATCTTTTAACATGTGAGCTGCATTRTTTTAGACTTCTAAATGTTTTCTCTGTTTGGAATCAGTTCTCAACCCTGTGCCTGGAGATTGTCAGTCGCTTCCACTGAAACACGTGTCGTAATTATCACAGACAAAGCTGCCCTTTAGACAATGAGCTTCCTTTACATCATCATCATCATCAGCTCACATTAGTTTGTTTCATTATTAGTTCCCTTGCCCAAGTGCATTTATGACTCTCCATGCATTTAATTAAAAGCAAATGGAGGGAGCGCAGCGAGGGGTGCCACAGATTGCTGCCATATGCGCCTCACTCTGCCATGTTGAGGCAGAGGATGGTGGAGGCTGAGCTCCGCCGGKTCTGGTTGTGCAGTCGGGTTTCTGCTGGTCAGCTCATCCCTGATTTATTGGACAGAGATCGGGAGCACTTAAAGGTCGGGCCAGTGGCTCCTGTTGTGCTCCTAAATCTATTCTTGAATCATTTCTTTACCATAACCAGAGCATTACTCTGCTAGAAAAGCCCTTTAGAGTCAGGAAAGTGTTCATTTTCCACCATCTTGTAAAGTACACAGGTGTCACAGCTTCCTAAGGTGTGTGATGCATTTTGGGAGAAATTTAAATGACATAAAAAAGATTATTTGGACCAGATCTACTTTTTTTAACCCATTGAAATACCAGACCGCTTCTTTAAGGGTGGCCTTTAAGGCAACCTATTGTACATCAAGCAGTTTATATTTTTTGTGGTTCCGATGTTCAGGTGCTCATTGTGAGAGCTGCAGATTTATGTTGTGATTGACCTTCAGCTGCAGCCTAATACACAAACTGTATTAGTGATTTTATGCTTTCTAAGAGAAACACTGTACATATTTTCCATTTATTTCAGATAACCTTTCAGCTCTTTTATTGAACTGGACGACAGCAGCAGCAGCGGTGGTGAGCTGTACCACTTCCAGTACAACTTCCAAGAGGAATATCAAGACAGCCATGTCTCATAGAAAGATTTATTTTAAAAAATRCATAAACCATTCTTAAACTTTTGAAACAATCCACCTTAGTCATGGCCTGGCTCAGACAGTATTWCCTGATCAATCCAGTCAGAATTAAAAGTTCAACAAGCCATCTGCAACAAGTAAGATATTTATCGTTCAATGCAGTTTCACAGATTCTTATAACGAAACATCTGAGCTATTCCCTGTCCTTTACCAAGTTCTGTCAACTGGTTCCACTGAACAGAGTTAATTTAAACATAAAGCAGTTTGCTCAACTCTGTTTAGTGGYGTTAATAACTTGGTTAAGTACAGTAAATTCAAAACTTTATTTTTTAGAGTGCATAAACAACTCATTTTATGATTTCTGCTCATATTTTAATTTGTAGCGTGGAACTAGGTGTTTTGTTTWAAAGTAAAGAAGTAAAAGAACCTTTTTTTATGTTTTGAATGTAACAAAATATAAGTAAAAGTTAGGATTTTAAAAAGTACTTGGTAATATTACAKATCCTAAAAAAAGTACTGTAACAAAGTAAATGTCCTTCATAACTATATACCTCTGTGTATCAGTGTGTGTACATGTGTGTGTGAGGTGCACAGCTGTCATGAGATGAAGCCATTAGAGTTGTTTTAGGAGACTCTAAACGATGTAATTAACTGTTCTTAYAAGCAGAACAGCTGCAGTTTCCAGCTGTGCTGAGAGCTAGCTAAAATAGTCTGATTTAGTTTTTCACAAACAAAGAAAGACAATCGAGAGGAAGTGAACAGAACCAGTTCGCCTCCTGAAGGCATGTAAGTCAATAGCGTTTTACCTCTACACACACACATGCATACACACACTGGTGAATCAGAGACATGTGATAAAAGTGAGCGAAGACTTCCTGCACGGCCTCCTCCTGCAGACTCATCATGTGTGTTCAATTACTAAAGCAAGAATGCACAAACACAGCGATCCCCGTGCCAGAAATGTTCCAAGTCTGTATGTTACAGCTTGATCATATCCAACAAGCAGGTCTTTTTTTCTCCTCGTCAGGGTGTGAATCCTTACACTGTAACTCTATATGTGAACAAGTCTTGTGTAATT